ATGAAATTTGTGAGTTCAAGTTTATGTTGGCTTAAGCCGTTTGCATTCCATGTACAAATTTTTAAAGTACTCATTATTTAGACAAAAACATTTGCATTAATTGGCTTTGAATTTTAACTATCTCGTTAAGAGTAGTTTGCATGATTGACATGAACTGAGTTAAGCTCTGAGTGAGAGTGGAGATCATTATTTCCAAACTATTACTTTGAACTGGAGGGGTTGCTTCTCAGATTTAACGACATTAGCATATGAAACATCTGGTGTAACAGGCTTAGAAGTTAAAGGTTGAGGTACTTCAACTAATTTAATGGTGTTGCTTCTTGTAGGATTACGCAACTCTTCTTTCTGCAGAGCTAACCTGTGCTTTAGTTCTTTATAAATAGGACAGCCTCTGTAGTTTGCAGTGTGATTTCCACTGCAGTTGCTACATTTTTTGGAGTTGGTATCCTTTAATGCTTTTTTATCGCATTCGTAACTATGATGAAGCTCGCCACAAGCTACGCACACTGTACGAAGAGTGCAATATGACATAGTATGGCCATACTCTTGGCAGTTTGTGCATTGCACCGGACCATTTCTTTTGTGGGGCTCCTCAACGCTAATTCTGCGGTGAAGTAAATACTGTAGGTTGTAGATGTAGATGGCTCTCATTTTTTTTAAGCTTAGAAGCTTCCGGGTGAAGTTCAACTTTGAACATAGGTTGTGGGTTTTTATCTTTGTTAACAATATTTATTACTGCTCTAGCGCTAAAGCCTTTTTCGCTTAGGGCATTTGTTATCTCAATGGGTTCTACATCTGATTCGATACCTTTAATTACGACAACAAGGCCCTTACTACTCTTTAGTTGGTATGTGTAGTAATTTTTTTGCTGTCTTCGAAATATTTAGTTATGACTCTAAAATTGTTTTCAGTGTCGATTTGGATTTTGGTTTCGTGTATATTGCCCCTAGTTATAGGAACAATATGAAAAGTATTATTTCCAATCAGACTTGCAAGGATTGTAACTAGCTTATTTGAGCTGCGTTCACGCAAGTAGATTGGAGGCGGTTTAAAATTTTTGTTAATAGGCTGATTAGCTTCATCTGTAGTTTCAGCTAATTCAGCAAATCTATTGCCAGAAAGAATGTTTGTAGTTGCACTATCTTTGATGGTTTTAGTTATTTTAGCACCTTTTGAATTGCTTTTTTGAGGACTAAGTTTACGTTTCATATTTACATAGCGTTCCATGCCTGTTTGGACCTTTATTTTATTTTTTGGACTCGCTAAGTCGGAAAATGCAAGCGAAGTTGCTGAAGGTGCAATGTTTGACAAACTTTTGTCAGTTTGTGTAGTTTTCAGAGGCAACGTATTCGATGCGTCTATTACCAAATAAGCATTACGTTTACTTGGAATGCTTATCGTATGTCTTCTTTCTAGATTTTGATTGCTCATTTGCATACGTGGTTATATATGCAAATAGCAGGTGTGCTATAAGATTTACTTAATTTAACTACTATTAATATTAAGTTAAATTAACTATATAAATATAAGTAAAATTAAATTAAATTAATATAAAGCAGAAAATAATAAAAATAAAAATGAAGATGTAAAAAATAAAATGAAAATGTGTAAAATATTATACTTTATATTCTAATAATTAAACATATAAATAAAAACAAAAAGAGAAAAAAACAATAATAATAATACTAAGAATAATAATAATAATAATAATAATAAAAAAAATAATAATAATTAATAAAATAATATCTTTAAATTCCAAAATCCAATGTTAGCACGTATGTTGGTTTTGATGTTGTGTTGTGATGAATTGCGGGCTTCCAATTACAGCTTTTGTGGAACACGCTTGTAATAAAATACTAGCTGTCTCTATCAGCACTTTTTTGTTTTGTTTATATATTCACAAAACCGCACTGATATTTTGTTTGAAT